GCTGCACCTGCAGCGCTGGCTCGCTCCGCCGTATTTTTTCTTCTTCCCCCGTTTTAGTCAAGTGGATGTGATGACGGCGGCGGCGGATGACGCATTAATCGCGCGACACAACTAATCGATGATGAAATTCGTTGCCAACGCTTTTAAAAGTTGATTTTTATCGATTTTATCAATTCGTTGTTGCAGCCCTAATTAAGACAGCATGATTGAACAACAAAACCAGTTTACTTCAGTTAACTTCTGTAGCACAAATTTACAACATGTGATCTTTATAGAAACAGTTCAATCAGATCATCCAGACATGATCAGCAGTTAACAGATTGCTTTATCTCCTCCTGTGGCGACATTAGATAATTTTATTACATAGCACAGCAATCTGTCATGAGTATGCATGCAGTGAAAGTGGGGCGCAAAAACTCTTTCGTAAGAGTAGGTTATTTATAAGAGATGTTTTTACAGAGTTTGAACCGAGTGAAGCTAAAACTATACTAAACCCTCTGAGGTTTTGTAAATAGAGGGTATTTATGATAATGAAGGTTTTAATCTTAAATCCAAACTGTAAACACCCTTTGTGCTAAAATTAAGCTTTAAGCAGCTCGTTCTTTCTTCAAATGCGCTTTTTAGAGTCAGTATATTCAAATGAACAATTATTCCATTACTAAATTTCTTCAAAAGTTATTTCAATAATTTATTAATCTGATTAAAGGGCTACCATTCATTCATCCTGTCCGCTAAACTGCTGCTAGTTTTACTCACATATCTGGAAGATGTCTAGTGCTGCTACCACAGATGATCTTGCTCTCCAAATGGAATTGAACAATTCAGATTAGCTCGCCGAACGAATAGAAGGGGCAGAGCGTAGCCGCCTGTGGCCCGGGCTGCCTGTTATGACTCATGTCGTTAAAAAAAATATAAATATAAAAAAATATAACTGCAGATGTCTGGGGGACAGTGATTCGCCTACATGTTATGAATGCTGGCGTAACATAAAGAATAAATTATGAACAGTTAAGTTTGTGCCTTCAAGTCGTTGCTCATAGGAAGATGTTACCTGGATATAACCTAACGGTCTTCAAAACAGCTCCAAATGACATAAAAATAATATGGGTGAGTAGAACAGGATGTAATAACGTAAAATCAAGGGCCCTTTAACTCTTTCAGTCCTCATAATAATCTTTACAATTCAAATCAAGTTTCAATCATTACTACTGAATACCTTAAAGGCATAGTAGAGGATTTCTGCAAATTTTTTAAAAGACCCGCCTCTACTCTTAAAAAAAAAAAAAAAGAAGCACATGCACAATCCTATACCTGCTTCTTAGAGGGAACGCCTATTAAATCCGTGCGAGAGCGTGCACAAGCCTATTTATCCTCGTGCACACTGTTTAACATTTGCTGTTTGCATCGTTTATACAAGCTCACTTTTCAAAAGTTTTGTAATTTTTCCACTATCTCAGACTCACCACCGGTAAGTGAAAATGGGGACGAACGCGTAGCCTTATGTAAAAATATCAGCAGAATGATTGACAGTTAGGAGGACCACTGATTTAGATGATCCACCCAAAAATAATACATCCTCCACTATAACTTTAAACACAATTATTCAAACCAAACCAAAGACAAAGGTTGTTTCACTATTATCTGCAGGATGAAGACACATTTTCTCCAATGATCGAGACAGAACTGAAAGAAGGAAAAACTTCCTCTAGGTTGTAGGTTTAGGCCTGTAATCCATGTTTATCACTGACCTTAATGGTGTAATCCTAGTCTAGCCTGTTAATCTAAAACCACCAAGCTTCTCAGCAGAGGGAACATCAATAAATCAGGCCTGATAAACCAGGATATTCAATGGATCCATTTCCTCATCACATTCTGGCAGATATCTGATGCTAAAGATATTTATTCAGAGCAGAGAGTCCGATGCTTAGAACCATGATTAGTTTTATTATTAAGTCTGAGGCGAGAATTTTTTGTTTTAACGCGAATCACAGAGTGACGTCATCACGTGTAGCAGTCTCAGTTCCTTTTCACCATAAATATTAATATTTATGCTTCTCACACATAAAACATTTAATAATGTGGACTACATTAGATATATATATATATAATAAATATAGTTATGTAGAAATGTCTTATATTAACATAATCTGATAAAAACTTAGGATTGTGAAGATATATTTAAAAATTAACACCTTATCAGATTTATTATTTATTTTATATTTTTGATCGCTTTATTTATCCATGCAAAGTTTTATAAAACCCCTATGAGTTAATAAAATTTAACACACTTCTAAACGATTGTTTCCTAATTTCCTGCTTAATATAAGTAAAGTAAGGAGTAAATACCAGAGAAATAGTTTAACTTTACTATTTAAATGTTAATGTTGTGTTTGGAAAACATATGAGGTTAATTATTTGCTTGGTTATAAGGTTGTATTATTAACCTGGGAGTTAACAGAAATGTACATTTATTTACAGCATTATAAAAACAAGATAAAAATAAATATATCCTGATAACTTACCAGCTGCAGCGCTGTTTATTCCCAGAAGAACCAGAACCACCAACTTTATCATTTTGTCTTCTGTCACCATCAATATTGGGTTCAGAAATAATCTGAGGCTCCAGTCTGAGAGAAACTCCCTGATCTAGGATGAAAAGGGGCGTTACCATGAATCCTGACCAATAGGAAAATAGTATGACCCAACACGTCATATAAATCCAGGTGAAATTTAGCTGTTGGGGTTGTCATCGAAAATGAAACCATGATACGGAGCCCCTCTGATGACATGGTCNATCAAAAAAGTACTCCAGAGTGTTGTTCAGCATGGGGGTGAGTAGAAAATGAAGGCTAATCATGTTTTGGGTGTACTATTCCTTTAAGCCTCAATAATTTAGAATTACTTCCTGGACAATAAATATAAGAAAACAACAGCAGAATGTTCAATTTATTGGGACCATCTCAGTGCTTCACATCATGTTTAATATCATTGATAACTGCTGAGAAAATGATAGAAGTATTAAACTCTGAATTTCTAAGTTTCGATCTTGGTTATGAATAATTTATTCATTGTTTTAAATAATAAAACAGTTGTTGGCTTCTTACCGATCTAAAGTTATAGCTAGCAGAGTTTAGTTTTTACTTGGATAGATTCACAGCTCTGTAATATCTACGTATCAGTGTCTCGTCTATGTGTATGTGTGTGTGTGTGTGGGGGGGTATATAGACAGATACGTATGTATGCTTAAACATAGGTAGATGTTAAGGGGGGGGGGGGGGGGTTACTGTGTGTCCTACTTTCTATAATCAACAACAAAAACAATCAATGATGAAATAAACACAAACCTCCAGTTTGGTTGAAGCGCTGCTTTACAGTTTCAATGTTGACTTTGAAGGCCTGCTGGTGACGCTGAAAGATTCGAGTGTTCCCCTCCCAGTACTGCTCATCATTGTTCTTTTCCATCCAGTCCTGTTTAGGAACTGCTTTCTGGGTGTTGCTGTCATAGTACATCATCTGGGCATCATCAACCAAACCAACAATCACAAACTCTGGGAAGTTTGGGACTTCAGACGATGTCGTGTAGAAATACTTCAGGGAGTGGGTCACTGGAAAAAATAACAATATGAATTAAAAATGTATAAAGGATAAAATAATAAAACCTTTTCTTCACACAAGTTAAATAAACTAAAGACCATCATTAATAAAACTAGACTTTAAATAAGGAGACAATTCAGAAAGTTTTCATCTTTTTAATCATTTCTGAGGAGTTTGTTCACTATAAATAAAAATGTTAAACAGTCGCTTTATGAAGTGTTTTTGTTTTAATTGTCCTTTATATGTTGATTAGACAACACTTTTTTAAGGACCTTAATGTCACTCACTCTGTTTTACTAACTTTATATAGTTAAACAAATTATAGAAAAAATTAAAGGAAGATTTCTAGTCAGCATTTACAATTCTTTGAAAAATAACTAATAATTCACTAATTAATCTCACACTCAATTTGGATTTTATGAAGTACATCTTCTAAACAATGACTTAAAATGAGGAGAAAATAAATGAATAATTAAACACATAAATAAAACCTTTATTGACACCATAAAAAATACAAAAAAGAATCTGTTTAATAAACGTCTCACCCCACTGTGTTTAACTCAGAATAAATAACTACTTTAATGGGTTTTAGGGTTTAAACTGTTTCACTTTTTGATTTTTTTTATCTAGATATTTCAATCTTAACTGAGAGCAGAGCAGGTATAGTTGTTGCAAATCGATTAATATTTTGATTATTTTTTTTATTAATTGATTTTTAATCAGATAGACAAATGTTCCTTAAAGAAGATTTTTTACAAAATTAAACCAGCTGAAACTAAAATGTTTCCACTTGAGGAGTTCTGGATAAAGCAGATTGACAGGAAAAAGTGTTTTATTGTTGTTTTTTTTACCTTAAATGTAAAATGTTTAAATATTTTTTTTTATTACAATTTTGGTATAATTCCTGCTCTAAATAAGTCGCTCTGTCAGCTAAAGGCATATTTTAATTTTTCTATACTTTAGTTAACGATTAATCAGTCACTAAATTAGTTGATGACTGAACTAACATTTTTCATGTGTTTTGAATGTGTTCATTGCTAGCTGGCTGTTCTGCAGGTTCTGGAGTTAAACAATAAAATAAAATCTATAGTTTTGTAGCTATAGAAACTGTTAAGTTGAATTCAATACCTTTAAAGAACCAGAATATCTTCTAATAACATTCTATTTTATTCTACTCTATTCTATTCATGGCTTTAAGCTGCAGCTGTTTTCTCCTCAGCCGGGAGTAACTATTGATAAAATAATGGATTCATTACATTTTCTGGTTTAACTTTTACATTAGTGTAATAATTAAGACTAGGGCTGCAACTAACGATTATTTTAAAAATCGATGAATCGGCCGATTATTTTTTCGATTAATCGATGAATCGG